TGCTCCAGCACCTGTACACGTGCACATCCTTCAGCTGTGGGGGTGAGCCTGCCACGGGCCAGGCAGGGGCCCCGGGAGCCCAGAGGTGTCCTTCCTCACCTGCTCACCAGCATGGCCTCGGCCTACAGCTTCCTGCCCTCCTCCCAGGGGACCCGCTGTCTCTCCTCCCCCTCCTCCCAGGGAGCCCACTTCCCCTCCTCCTCCCCCTCTTCCTACCTCTCCTCCTCCCCCTCCTCCCCAGGAAGCCTGCTTTCCTCCTCCCCCTCCTCCTCTCCCCCTTCCAAGGGGGCCTACTCCCCATCTTCCTCCCTCCTCCCCTCCTCTCCTCCTCCCAGGGACTTGCTCCCCCTCCTCCTCTTCTCCTCCCAGGGGCCCACTCCCCATCCTCCTCCCCCTCCTTCCAGGGGGCCTGCTCTCCGTCCTCCCCTCCTGCCCACAGGGCGTGCTCCCCATTTTTCTCCCATGGAGAAGCTCCCAGGTCACCCTCTGCTGACCTCGGAGCAGATGGGCCACAGTCTGGTCCTGGGGAGATTCCAGTCACACTGGTATTTGGGAAAGAAGTGAGCCTGCCTTGTACTGTGGACCCTGCCCCCCCAGGCCTGCCAGCCGTGAAGCAGGCTAGGCGGCCCCCAGCATGAGCTACTGAAGGAGGACTTGCGTGGGGCAGAGAGTGAGTGGACAGCCTGGGCCTGCGGTGCCCACACCCACCCCACCCCCACCCCAGCTGAGGCCAGCGTCCTCAGGTGCTAGTCCTCAGTCCTGTGTGGGGTGCGGCGCATGGAGCTCCAGGGACACCTCCACCCGCCGTGTGGGCAGGGCCAGGGTCACAAGAGGGTGAGTACAGGCAGGACCTCTCCAGGCTCCCGGCACGGAGGGGGGTGCACCCCAGCTCGGGTGGCAGAAGCCCAGGCACAGACGGTGTAGGGCGAACACAGAGGCATTTGGAGGACACCAGGGATGTCTGAGGACAAAGGGTGCTGCTGCTCAGAGGGCCTGAGCCAGTGACTGATAAGATGAGGGTGCCCAGTCAGACACAATACCCAGCTGCAACATGTGTGCACTGGCTCCGACAACTGCATACAGGGATGCAACTGCATCCCTCCTGTGCACACGTGCACCCCTGCTGTGCACATGCACCCCTCCCATGTATGCATGTACCCCCGCCATGCACACGTGTGCCCACCTGCCGTGCACATGCACCCCTCCCATGCACACGTGCACCCCTGCCATGCATATATATACCCCGCTGTGCAAAGCACCATCCATGCACACACACACACTGCCACATACATGCACCCGTCCACCATGCACACACACTGCACCCCCACGCACATGCACACTCCTGCCATGCACATGTACCCCCCACATGCACACGCACACCCCCACATGCGCACACATGTCCCACCATCCACAAAGAAAAGCACTCATGCACAGAAGAAACCCAGGCCATGGCATGTCCCCAACATGATGGTGGAGCCAGTGGGATGTGCTATGGGGCCACTCCCCCGTGGCGACCCTGTGTGTTCAGGGCCTTGTTCCTCAGATGCTACTGCTTCACTTATTTCATAAACCTTTAAAACTCTGTGTGTGCCGAGGAGTAGTTTAATGCAGTGTGACTGTCCCTCTGTCCCTTGCGTCTGGCTCCCCGCTGCACCTACACCACACTGTCCTCTCTGCTGCCTCTGGCAGCACAGCTATCCTGTGTCCACCCAAATCACCCTCTGCCCACAAGACATGGGAACGTGTCAGTGTGCACACGGGCTCACAGGTGCATACCCAGGATTGTCGCCATAACATCTCACCGTGTCCCAGAGCACAGGAAAGGGGGTTCCTTCCTCAGCTGTGGAAACATACCACACGGCCGCTACCAGTGAGACACTGGTGCACCATAGGCACCCAGGTCAGTGGGATGGATGCGAGAACCCCCAAAGGGAACCCACGTATGTGAGCCCAGGACACCTTGCAGACTGGAAGCTCAGCTCACTGGCTGACTACTTGGTGTGGCACAGTGGAAGGACATAAAATCAGGCTCCTCCGCCCTCAAAAATCTGATCCCACATTACGCGAGAGCATACTAGATGTGCTCAAGAGCTGATCCAAAGCGACATAGCCCCCGCCAGGCAATCGAGAGACAGATCTGCCTGGGTGATCTTCCCGGCAGACCCGGAGCCAGAAACCAGAGGTGACGAGAGACACACAGTCAGCTGCAAAATGACCTCATGTTGGTGGCAAATGACACAGTGACCCAAGAAAGAACCAAACAACAGAGCGGGGAGCCCGTATCTTCAGGGCAGAAGGGAACCACCCACGCCCGTGAACATCTACAGACAGGCGAGGAAGGACACGGGCCCAGAACACGAGTGGATGATTCACACACAGAGGGATCGCTGCACCTGTGAGCGAAGAGCCCACCTTGGCGGCGCGGGGCCCGCACGTCCTGCAGCTCTGCCCCTTGCAGGCCGACGGGTCAGGCAGTCCCCTCGTGCCCGCCGCGCTCAGGGCGGGCACACGGCCTCACGGGGAGGCGGCAGCTGTCAGACACCCGCGCAGATGCATGTGGCACAATCTGTAGAACAAAGAGGCGCCCCCCCACCCCGGCCCGGCGGTACCTCTCCCTGAAGGCCACGCACTGAATTACAGCCCCTGCGTGTGGCCGCCCTATTTAGGGCAGCACTGTTTACACTGGCTGCGTCTTCCTTTCCTGTGGCGTCTCCAACAAATGACCATAAACTGGGTGGCTCAGAACAACAGAAATCTATTCTCCCGCAGTCCTGGAGGCCGCAAGTCTAAAATCGGTCTTGCTGGGCTGAAATGATGGGGTCAGCAGGGCCGTGTCCTCTCTGGGGGCTCTGGGGGAGGACCCCCTCCCTGCCTTCTCCAGCTTCTGGTGGCTGCCGGCATCCCTTCATTCGCGGCCATGGCATTAGTCAGGGTCCCCAGGGGCACAGAATCGATGGGATGTACACACAGAAAGAGATTACTTATTATAAATCATATCACACGGTCCTGCAGGCTGATTGGTCCTGATATGTGCAGTCGGCAAGCTGGACACCCCAGGGGAGCGGAGGACAGGAGTCCTAGCTCCAGTCCAGATCTGGGAGCCAGAGACGACGGCGACCCAGCTCAGAGCAGCTGTGCAGCCAGCACGGGAATTCTCACTTACACCGCCTCTCAGCTCCGTTCAGGCCCTCGACTGATTGGACGAGGCCCACCCTCATTGAGGATGACAATCTGCTTTACTCGGTCTTCTGATTCAAACACTAATCCCATCCAGAAACACCCTTGCAGACATGCCCAGAATCCCACTGGACCAAGTATCTGGGCACCGGCGGCCCGCCAAGCTACCACCTAAAACCAGCCACTGTGCCCATGCAACTCCGACCCGTCTTCTGTCCTCACGTCACGTCCTCCTCTTGTCCTCAACGGCCTGACTCCTGCCTCACTCTCAGAAGGTCACTGTGGTGCACTGAGGGCCCACCAGGCCACCCAGGATCTCGTCCCCATGTCAACACCCTTCACGGAACCACACAGGCACAGACCCTGGGTCTAGACATAGCTGCACCCAAAGTTCCAGGGACCGGAGCCTGACTTTGTTGATGGCCGTTCTCAAGTTCACAAGGGACCACAGGTCCAATCCAGGAGCGTGGGTGAGTGGCTCCATGTGGGACCCAGTGCTAGGTCATAAAGGAACCCTGGCCAGGGGGTAATCATCCCTCTTCCCAACCCCAGATACAGCCACGAGGACAAGATACAGCACCTCCTGTCTGTAACAGAGGCGCCAGCCTCTCTCGGGTTACAGGGAGGCAGGGTGAAGACCCTGGCTACTGTGTGCCTGCAAAAATGAGCATCCCCCTGGCCTCAGGGTGGGGCGGGGAGGGGGGTCGTCCACGACCCCAGGTAGTCACTTATCCCTTTCCTGGGAGATAGGCACAAAGAGTGTCGATGTTGAGGTCTACCCCGGAGAAGGGAGGCGCCTCCTTCCTAAGAGCTCCCCCGCTCCCACACCACGCAGGCTGCGCACCGTCCTAACAGCCAGCCAGGGCTCCCCTGTGGCTGGCTCTGCCTCCCCCACACACACCCCCTGCCAGCCTCCAGAGGCCTGTGTACCCAGCAGCTCAGAACCCCCTGTGGAGCTCCGCCAGGGTGCACCCTGGGACGTGTGCCCTGAGCAGCCCACCCTTGCCGCCCCGCACACACAGCCACTGAGACCCCTCCCCACCTCCATGCACCAAGTCCCACCCCGGGGTCGTAACAGGCTGCCCATCCTGATTCCCACACAGCCAGCTTCACCTGACGGATGGACGGACAGATGGAGGCTCTTTGACAGCAAGCAGCCCACCCGTCTGGAGACCCACACGCTGCTGCAGCAGGTGCCCACCCCTTGGCAGGTCCACAGACATCGTCCAGTGCCAGGCTTAGGGCCCCAGGCCTTCCTCCCCTCCATGCCTCACCTGACCCACGCCTGCCATCCCACCTCCCAAGGTTGAGACGCTTCCTAGGGGCTCGGGGAGCTGCCCCCACGGGACCCTCCATGCTTCCAGCTGCTCTGCCCAGCGCCGGGGCATCCTCGACCCCCACCCACCCCAACTCAGTCAGCAAGTCCCCCGACTCTGCTCCCGGGAAGGCCCAGCAGGCCATCCTCCCACCCTGGCTGCTGTAGCCAGCCGGCCTGTGCCACCACGTCCTCTCCAGACCATCTCGCAGCCCCCCTGCCCCCACCATGTCCCATGCCCCAGAAGCCATGGGCCACCCAAACCCTTGGCTCCGGGCTCCCACCTCGGCATCCCCAGTGCCAAGCAGCTCCCAGGTCCCCCTTGTGCCCCGAACATGGGAGGCCTGCTGCAGCCTCAGGGCCTTTGTGGCTGCTGTTCCCTCCCGCCTGGAGCACTACTCCCCAAACCCAGGCGCAGCCCGTCTCCCCTTCCCCAACCACCTTCCTCAGCGAGGTCCTCCTTCCTCCTGTGCTCCCGGGACCACCTCACGGCTCGTAACCCACTTACTGGTCCCGCGGTCTCTCCGTCCTCCCCGACACCGGAGTGCACACCCCATGCGGAGGCCCCAATGCCCAGCAGGGGAGGTCAGCGCACAGATGGGGTCTGGAGGGGCCAGAGGGGAGCCGGGGCTTGCCGCCCTGGGCCAGCCAGGCCATCCCAATGCCGCGCCCAGGCCGTGTGTGCCCCAGACGGCAGCGGGCCGAGGGGAGAGCCTGGGGACGGGCATGTGGACGAGAACGCGGCTGACGCTCCAGCAGCGGGTGATGAAAGGCCCGTTTCACTGGCTTCACCCACGAGCATGACAGCAGCGCCGGAGCAAAACGGGCCATTGTGGGATATAAATAGCCCAGCCAGATGTGGACCCGCCTGCAGGGTGCTCCCCAGGGCTCCAGCCCAGCCCCCCATCAGCGGGGCCCTGGGAAGCCACAGCAACCCTGCACCCAGAGACAGGACAGGGTCCACTGCCGAACCCCCTCCCACCAGGACAGGGTCCACTGCCAAACCCCTCCCACCAGGACAGGGTTCCGTGCCCATCTCCCTCCCGTCAGGACAGGGTCCTGCGCCCGTCCCCCTCCCACCAGGACAGGGTCCTGCACCCGTCCCCCTCCCACCAGGACAGGGTTCCATGCCCATCCCCCCTCCCACCAGGACAGGGTCCTGCGCCCGTCCCCCTCCCACCAGGACAGGGTTCCATGCCCATCCCCCCTCCCACCAGGACAGGGTCCTGCGCCCGTCCCCCTCCCACCAGGACAGGGTCCTGCGCCCATCCCCCTCCCACCAGGACAGGGTTCCGTGCCTGTCCCCCTCCCGCCAGGACAGGGTCCTGCGCCCATCCCCCTCCCACCAGGACAGGGTTTGTGCCTGTCCCCCTCCCACCAGGACAGGGTCCTGCGCCCGTCCCCCTCCCACCAGGACAGGGTTCCATGCCCATCCCCCCTCCCACCAGGACAGGGTCCTGCGCCCGTCCCCCTCCCACCAGGACAGGGTCCTGCGCCCATCCCCCTCCCACCAGGACAGGGTTCCGTGCCTGTCCCCCTCCCGCCAGGACAGGGTCCTGCGCCCATTCCCCTCCCACCAGGACAGGGTTTGTGCCTGTCCCCCTCCCACCAGGACAGGGTCCTGCGCCCGTCCCCCCTCCCACCAGGACAGGGTTCTGTGCCCATCCCCCTCCCGACAGGACAGGGTCCCACGCCCGTCCTCCTCCCACCAGGACACAGCCAGCGGTTCGCTGATGCCACTGCCACGCAGTGTGAGCAGGAGGTGGTCGTGTAGAGGCCAGGCTGCGGGCCATGGCTCGGCCCCTTATGCACAGCACACAGGGACACAGGAGCAGGGATCGGGGAGCCAGGGTGGCCCTTCAGGGATTGAGCACGTTCACAAAGCAGGGGGCTGAGTCCCCCCACAGGAGATGCAGTATGAGCACCAAGCCCATGTCTCTGGCAAGGGTCGCCCCCCATGAGTCAGTGCGGCAGGGATGCAGGACCAAGGAGGCTCACAGAGGCTCTTTCCCTATACTCCAGGCCCCGAGGACCCGTGACGAATCAGCATCCCCACCCCTGGGCCGGCCTGACAGATGCGGGAAGTCACAGAGGTGGTCCAGGGCGCCTGTGTGGCTCCGTCTCTGAAGTGTCTGCCTTCAGATCAGGTCATGATCTCAGTGTCCTGGGATCGAGTCCTGCATCGGGCTCCCTGCTTGGCAGGGAGTGTGCTCCTTCCTCTGTCCCCCCCTCCGTTCGTGCGCACAGGCGCTCGCACTCTCTCTTTCTCTCTTAAATAATAAGTAAAATGTTTAGAAAAAAAAAAAAGCAGTCCAGATCCATGCTTCCAACAGAAATGCCAGGTGAGCCACATGTGTCATTTCAGATGCACCCAAAAGTCACATTGAAAGAGTAAGAACAAACAGGTGATGTTAGCTCTTAGAACATAGTCCAATACACATCCAAAGCACGATCACAGGTAGCTCCCAGCATCATGAACAGAACCACCTCCGGTCAGTCCCTCTTGACCCTGGGCCTTTACAGCCTGTGCTGTTATCCACGCCCATAGCTCTGACCAGCCGCTGCACCAGCTCCGTGCCCCCGTGGTGTCGGACCGTGCAGCAGGTGTGACGCATGAGCAAGTGGTATCGTCCCCGTGAGGTTCTGATGTCAGAGCCAGTGCAGGACCAGCTGTGGCCGACAGTGTGGCAGCTCCTGGTCACCACAGACCCAATGGGGTCAGCGCTGTGCAGCTGTCACAGCCAGAGGGCCTGCCCCCCAGTCCTGGCTCCAAGGAGCCCAGGCCTCAGCAAGGTGCACCCACAGCTCCGCCCACGCCTCATCAGCGGCCTGTCAGTTGGCCTGTCGTTCAGTCTGTACCGTGGGCCTTGGGTTGGACTTTGGGCTAAGACCATGTGCAGACCCGAGTTGGGAGGAAGTTGGTTCCACACTGATGTTAACCAGTCGTGAAATGTGAGCTCCTCACGTACACAGTCTTCAGACACGAAAAGTCCAGACCACTCACCCTCAGATCAGCGCCATGGGACCCTGGGCGCCCTCAGGGGTGGTCCTGGGCCACGTGGGGGTGACCGCATCCCGGGGCTGCAGCTGGACCACCAGACAGACCCTCCCAGGTCCTCAAACACACACACAGCAGTCCCTCTCCCCGCGCTGCAGGGCGCTGCAGGACACCGCACGCCACCTGCTGTGCACGAAGCACCCATCCCATGGACGGTGGCCCCCCCCCACGGATGGCGCCCCCCCTACCCCTACCCTGGCAGCCAGGTGGCCCGCGCCACGGCTCAGCAAGACTGTGGGACTGTTAGCTATCTGGCGCCAACACAACAAAGGTGCTCAGGGCAGATGGCTCTCCGCCTCCCATCAGCGCGTCCGCCCAGGCTGTACGACTTTGGGTCTAACAGAAAAATTGCAGGTGAGACATAAAATTACATCCGTTGCAGACAGGCGTCCCTGTGGACCTATCCCAGGAAGCCACGGAGGCCCTCTGGGCCCGTTGGGTCACATGCTCCAGGGAAGCTCACCTACAGGTGGCACCCCCTGCACCCCGACCATCGGCCCTCAAAGCCAGCCTCCCAGACGGCTGTCCCTGTGACAAGGGCAGCACCCCTTCGGGGTTCAGGCTGTGTGTGTCTCTTGGACCCTCGTCAGACGGACCAGCATCACCATGCTGGTGATGGAAGATTGCCTCCGCTCTGTCCCCACACAGAGAACCCCCTGATGCAAAGCTTCCTCCAAACCACCTCAGGCTGGAAAAGCGAATCCCTCACGTGAGCCGCTTTTCTGCTTGGACACGCACTCTAGAATCTACTTTTAAATCTAAGTGTTCCCTTTTTTTTTTTTAATTTTTATTTATTTATGATAGTCACACAGAGAGAGAGAGAGAGAGAGAGAGAGGCAGAGACACAGGCACAGGGAGAAGCAGGCTCCATGCACCGGGAGCCCGATGTGGGATTCGATCCTGGGTCTCCAGGATCGCGCCCTGGGCCAAAGGCAGGCGCTAAACCACTGCGCCACCCAGGGATCCCCTAAGTGTTCCCTTTTAATGTGCCTTTTGCAAGCAGACGATTTGTGATGTGAAAGGTTAACGCCAGAGCAGGGGGTTTTCTGACATGGGAGGGAGAGCCCCCTTGGCCCCCCGAGTCAGGGTAGGCCAGGCTAGGCCCCCAAGAGCCACAGCAGGGCAGGCTTCCTGGGGAGGATGCGGTGGGGGGACTCAAACCTCCCGTGGACTGCAGACTTCTAGGGCTCAGTCTCAGGGGTCATGTGTGCCGGAGCCAGGGCTCCCATTGCCAACGGGAAGCCTCTTCTAGAAGCAACACGGCCCAGGACCATCCAGAACCTTGCAGAGGCCTATGCTGGCTACGGGTAAGGATGGGGATCGGGGACAGGGGTTCACAGCCGAAGTTCCCATTCCAGTGGACACTCAGTAGGGCATAAAATTAAGAGAGGTCCTGGAGAGAGGATTAAGAAACATAGCTCGGCCCCCAGGATCCCCGGGTTAGAGATGCTGAGCACACAGCAGCTTCTGTGCACATGCAGCCTCCCTGGGGGGCCGAGGTGCGGTTCTATAGCAGACAGCAGATTCACAGGCTGGATTTAAGGGACACCGGTAACAGTCAGTGACCTGCTTCTCCTGGCAGCTGATTCAACTCGGTCTGGTCAGGATGGGAAGCTGTCAGCCTTGGCTGAGACCCGGCTACAGCTCCAGAAGCTGCAAGCACCCTGACTCCACCTGACGCTGTCTGCAGAGCCCATGACGGGTGTGGGTGCGGAGTCGCACAATGAACACCGGGCAGCAGGCCCTGGGAACTCAGCTTCTCGCCGGTGCAGACGTGGGGACATCTCACCAGCTCCACCCTGAAGCCCAGGTATGGTGCAGAAAGTAGAGTCCCTGGCCATTCAGTATTGACAACAGGGGCACCTGCCACACTAGGAAGTGGTCCCCATGCTCTCGCCTCGTGTGCGCATGAGCAGCAACGAGAGACTGACCCAACGCGGAGGTGGTTTTCCTGGTGGCACATCTACATAACACGAGCCCTGCCTTCTTTACAAGACAGAATCTTTTATAAGACGATGGATGTGGCGACCTGGGGGGCTCAGTGGGTGACACGTCTGCCTTCAGCTCAGGTCATGATCTCGGGGTCCTGGGATCAAGTCCTGCATCGGGCTCCCTGCTTGACGGGGAGGCTGCTTCTCCCTCTCTCTCTGCTGCTCCTCCTGCTTTTTCTCCTTCTCACTCTCTCTCTCTCAAATAAATAAATAAAATCTTTAAAAGAATAAAGCTGTTGGAAAATATTACAACCGAGGGAACGATCACAGCCCGAGAAAGCAGGCTGCATTCAGGGCGGAAGCCCCCCGCTCAGAGCAACCAGCTGACAGCAGCCGGCACGGAGGGCTGGCCACACCATCCAGAAGCACCTGCAGCTCGCACCTGCTGCAGCCCACACGGCCCCCGCCTCCGCCACGCCAGCCCTCCTCAGGGACAGGCTCCGTCCCCCAGGAAGCCACCCCGTGGGGCCCTCAGAGGCTTCCTCTTTCCGCTCAAAGTCACGACCCCTCGTTTGGTGCTGCTGGTTTGGGGAGAGCCGGGCCAGACCCGTCGTCCCCACGCGCTGTGGGGGCAGGAAGAGCAGGAGTCACACTGACACACGTCAAACCTGCTGGTCCTGCTG